GCTCTTCACTTTTAGATTAATCTGCCAAAATGAGATGCTAAGGATTTGCATACAGATTTGACTACACAAAAATAGATCTGGAATTAATAACAGTCTCTATATGTTTTAATTTCTTCTAGACTGGAGTACCCTTGCCTCCAGCAGTATTCTTGGCTTTGAAAGTCATCAAGCTGATTTGTCTGCTCTTAGGTTATGATGCCACATGCTGCTACACTGTCCCCTGCAATCAAAGTGCTCGCAGAGATAGATTCCATGCCTTCCCCTAACAAGTATATTTTATAGATTGGCAGTTTTGATCTCCCCTCCCCAGGGGGATAATCTGCATCTTAACAGGTTTCTATAGATACATCTGTCATTAAATATGCCATCTTATATCTGCATCAATTTTCAAACTCAAGTTCCTCCTAACTTTGAAGTGCTATAGCAAAAGTTTAAAATTTTCTGCCAAAATTCAAATTTAACAAGTCTGCAATGTCCTCTTGAACTATTTTTTTTTAAATACTCCAGGCAGCTGGGAAAGGGCAAAAGAAGAGTAATATGTCTCTTAAAAAATAGGAAAGGGAAAAAAAAAGTTTAAATCGTACTAAAAATAATACATACTTCCTCAGAAAAAAATGGGGTAATTCTGAGATAATGTCTTAAACTTCTCTGCAGTGCTTTCTATGAGGAAAGGAGGGGAAAGGCAGGGAGGCATTGTAACTACATTTGGAAAGAAGTATTTAAAAAAAAATACAAACCATGCTATTAGATTTGATGTCAAGCAACAGCAGCTAATGTGGTAGTAATCCATCAGTTAAGGAAAGAGAAAAAGATGTCTGGCTGCGTGAAGTTACAGAAAATTTACAGTTTGGTCAGCACTCACTGGGTTTTATAGACTGCACCACTTTGACATGAGCAGCTTGCTTTGAGGACTAGAGTTTTGAGGAGGCAAGAAGCACTCTCAGGACAAGCCTGTGTCTTTCTTGCTCTTACAGCTGTGAGAACACACTCATGGGAAGCCCAGCATCCAACCCATGGGCTTACAAGGTTTTTACACTGCCACAATCACTGTTGCTCGCTCCCTTGCGGGCTGTAAACCCTGCTTTTTAAGCCCTCCAAGACCCGTAAGTTCCCAACTCATGCAACAGTGCCCCTTTACATGGAGAGGTCCTGGAGGAGTCCAAGACCCACCTTGTCCAGCCCTTCCTCACACATGGGTAATATTTTGGTTTGTTACAGTCCTGCAAACAGTTCACAAACTGCACTGAAAAAGACCTTCAATAAAGACAGCTCCAAAAAGAGAAGGGTGGGAGGCAGTAGATTCAACACCATTTTCCCAATCAAAAATTTATTATCCATATTTATAACATGTCCTAGTAAGACCCCCATATGACTTGAGAAATCTAATCCAATCCAAATCCCCCAGAAAATCTCACAACTCTCTCCAAAGTCCCCAAGTGCTAGGCTGCACGCACGAATCAGAGTTTGCTGGAAGATGTGTAAAACTACATGTTGGCAAAGAGCTCCCACGTGTATTCCTTCCAGCAAATCCAGGGAATATATAGAAACTCATGACATGCGCCCCAAGGTGCTCTGCTGTTTTAAAATAGAAATCTCTCCTCTCTTAGGTGTCTGTGTGTTAAACACAAGATAATCCTTCCTCAACATGCAAGCCCGCTGCCTTTTACTTCAGCCAGCCCAGGTGCAGTGAGGACAGCTGAGCTGGAGCAGATTCTCCCACCCTACGGAGTGCCCTGGAAGACCCCACCAGCAGCTCTAATTAACACTGTTCCACCTCAGAGGCAATCCAGCTGCAAACCAGAGGGGCACAAGCCCTAGTTTGTTTGTGGGTTGTTTTTTTAAAAATCACTAAAACCTGATGTTTACATTCAATCTAAGAAGAATCAATGGCATCAAACCTATAACGTCCATGCTTGAAAAGTCTGAGATCCATTATCTTTATTCAAATATAATAATAATAATAAAGAAACACTGTTCCATATACAGCTGAGACTGGGTCACTGAGGCAATTTTTATGTACTTGTTAAGCTCCTGCTCCTGGTAATTTCTGTGCCAGCTGCACTGCAAAACTTGATTTGGTTAGACACTGTAGATTCCTATTTATTCCAGATCTATTTTTCATAAACCAATTTTATAGTCATTTACTGAGAAAAAAAATCTTCTTCTCCTCACAATAAACAGCATACTGATAGTAAGGTAATACTTTTCCCCCCAAACTGCTTGCAACTCAGAATAATTCTCCAAGATTTGTGATCTCCACCATTTCCTTGGTCAAAATCTCCACCATTAGGGAAAAAATAATAATAGGAAAAAAAAAAAGAATCTTGAATTTTGAAGAAAAAGCTGTTAAATACAAAGCAACTGTACGGGGTTGGCTTGTTCACCCCCACCAAGTTGAGTTTCCATGTGCATGTCAAGATGTGATTTTCGCTGACACGCTTAAGGTCAGGCAACTTGGACCTCTGCAAAACAACAGCATAATACTTTGCTTTAGAGAAGACTTTTCATGTGCTAATCTCTTGAGCACTTGAGGCGGAGGGGAAGCCTCGTTATCCTCAGCTGCAGGTGCAGGAATGGCCCAGAGCTGAACTGCCTGGCAGAGGTTCCCTGCCCCTCTCTGTCCCCATGGGCACTACACCTATACGGGAGGAGGAAGGTTAACGTGTGGAGAAAAGTAGGTCTCCAGATTTGCATGTGCGCGCCACGGAGGATATAGGAAAACAGGCATAGTTCAAGTTCTCACTCTTATGGAAAATATTTCCCTGCTTTTAGAGGGAATGATTGTTAGTAATGTTGAACTCCAAAGGTTTTGGTGCATTTTGCTTCTCTTTCACTCAAATACTTCACTTTTCAAGCATGTGGCATGCAATTCGTTTGTGAAATGGGTCATGGTGTCAGATGTTAACTGGGGCCTGTAAGATTCATCTTTCTATAAAATTCCCAAACCATCTGCCCGATGCTGTACTGTCAATACAGAAAACTTATTTTAATGAATTCTCATCTACTTTTTAAAATAAGAAAATAAAATAAAATGCGGGCTGTGAAAAAAAAATAAAGACGAGAAAAAATAATGACACAAATATAAAAATATGTTCCACAATATATGCAGCTCAGCAAACTTGAGAGCTGAACACAATTGTGCTGACCAGAGGGGCCGACTAGTTCCAGAGTGCAGAAGGCTCCCTCTGAGCCTTCTGGCAGGTTAAAAACCCCAAATGGGTGGTGGCAGCTCAGGAGTCCCTCTGTCACCTGAAACACCGGCCACCCATCTCCTACTGCCAGCGTGTGCTTACAGCATTTTGTTTAACACGCTTCCCTTCCCTGCTGCCTTTGCCATGATTTTATGCTCTATTATTTTTTATTCCTTCTCGTATTTGTCCCAAAGGAGCAGCAAAGTAAAGCCGACAACGATTCCCAATAATAATAGAAACCCCTTAAGTCTAGTCAGCTTTTGATTAGCAAAGCCTTTAGAAGACAAGGGGCAGTAGCAGAGGCACTGATGCTTTGGCTATAGAATAAGTAAATGATCTGTGTATGGGTCATGTTTTGATGACTCTCTCCACAAATACAAGGGTTAGAAACTTGTATTGTCCCTATTTATTTTATTTACTTTCTAAAAGACTGGGCACATTTTCATGGTTACCTTGCCAGCTGGTAGTAGCAGACTGACTTTGAGAGCTCTCACTGATGACCCGATTTCCCAGAAAAAGCAGCAGGGATACAACTGAGAAACATCCCTAACTGAGACTAATTTTTTTAATTACTTAATTTTAGGCCACATGCTTCAGAATTTGGTTCCCTCCTGCATTACTGATTACTCTGATACTAACACTTTACATTTGAGTATGAACAGTGGATTTTTTTGAGCAGTGACTACTGATATTTTTGGAACAATAAAACATATCTCTGTACCATTCCCTTGCCCCTGAATATACACATACAGCGAGCTACGTTCTAGCCCTAAGCAATTAATTAATAATAGAAAGCTAGCTACAGTTATTGCATCTCCATCTACTTTTACTTATCAAATAACTCTATTCAATACACAGAACCCAGTTTTCAATCCGTGAGTACATAATTCAGATCAATACCCTACTGAAGTATGCACAGAATGCTCTCGTAATTCATAATAACCTGTCAGAATCTAGCAACTCAAAATTGCTAAGCATTTTTTCAAGAACTATATAAAATACAAGCAAAAAGTCCTGTCTATCTTATTCCACTGCCAAAGCATTGCTCCTTACTGTGACTTTACAACAAAAGTTACATTGGTAGTATTTTCAAATAGAAATGGAACAATACTGCTAAAATATTTTTTGTTGTTTTGCCCAGTTTTAAAGAGTTCATCTAATAGGCTTCCACTTACCTCCTCCCCTGTTTCTACAGCTGTATTAGAGGCACATTCTTGAACAGAGTATCACGCTGCTTCATTATATAAATGCAGATAGTATTTAAACACAGAGGCAGGCATGCATTTCACTTACGTAACTAAGCACATTAATTAATCCTCAGCATAATTTTCCCTTTCCGAGCATATCTGGAAAGTTTAAAAGTAGTCTTCAACCTGTCACACATTTGACTTAAAAATCTCTAATCAAATACTTCCTTGGGGATTTTTTTGTACAGAAAAAAAGAAATTAAGAAAAAAAATATTACTTTTTTCATGTAGTGGAGCAAGGTCTACACTCTGATGGATGTTTCTACTGCTTGTTCAAAGATTTTATATGAATATATTTAACACAATTTCCTAAAAAGTCCAGTTTTTCATAGAGACTGACAAATGTAAACCACAAGGGGGTTTACACATATGGGCAGAAAGATACATCTGCAAGGAGCTCTGCTAACCTAAATGACATAGTTTGAGAATCATAGAATCATAGAATTGTTTAGATTGGAAAAGACCTTTAAGATCATAGAGTCCAACCGTTAACCTAGCACTGCCAAGTCCACCACTAAACCATGTCCCTAAGCACCACATCTACATGTCTCCAGAGATGGTGACTCAACCACTTCCCTGGGCAGAAGCACAGCAGAGGCCTAAGTAGCTACCTTAATCTTTCATTCATATACCATCTTTTCACCAGAGAAATCCCAGACGGTATTAAAATCCCCTGAGGGTATCTACAGTGAAGATGGCAATCACTAAACATTTTCCTCAAGGGCTGGCCCCGTTTACTCATTAACTTCTTTGATAAATATTACAACTTTATAACCTTCCATGACACACTTCTTACTAAAAGGTGTTTTTTTTTCCTGTCAAATTTTCTGTAGACAACATCTTGTTCCAAAGCAACTGATAACAGAAAAGTCACTACAAAGATTGATGGCACAATGTCACCAACTCCCATCAATGTGCACATGTAAAATAACAAGTACATCAGACTGAGTTGCAAATGATATGTTTGTTTAACATTACAAGGCCTATACTTTCATCTATCTGTGCCATAAAGCTATGATTACATCAGGCAGTCCTGTGCACTTGTTATGGACAGAGCCATGCACAATTTCTAATGAAGGTCATCTTGGCCTGTTACAATATCCTCAAGAGCAAGTGGGAGCAGTTCATACACCTGCCTTAAAGCCCTGGACCTACACAAGCCAACAAGCACTTAATTCTCCATTTCATTGTGAGGAATAAATGCAGTGGTACCAGATCATACTACAGAAACTGGGTCTTGTTTTTCGTTTTTAGGAAACACACACAATTTGTCATCCAAAATTTGTCCCAAAAGTGCATTATCATTTTGATTCACTGTGATTTATGAATAGCAACTGGAGATAGCACATATGATATATGCAGCTTGGAAACACAGAGACATATTTAGCAGACAAAAAATATTGTATAGGAATATTATGCTCCTATACTTCTAAATCAGGCTTGATTTTATGCTTCCAGGCTTAAATTCTTTGAAATACCCATCTCCGACGACAAAAGTTATCCTGACATATAAACCTAAGAAGATTTATTAGTTGCATTTGAGACAGTATTTTGTTAGTACCTCAAACTGTGCGAAACGTTTTCTACCTGATATCCAAAGAAGACCATCCACCACATATCCTGCATGGCATGAGAGCGATCGATCAAAGGACTGTACAAAGGTCCACTTGTTCTTCTTGGGGCAATAGCGTTCCACTGTAGGTAACACTTGACGCAATTCATTTCTGCCCCCTACTGCATAGAGGTACTCGTCCACTGCTCCCAGCACAAAGTGTTCCCGACAGTTCTTCATTGGAGCTATCTCAGCCCAAGAGTTAGTGCGGGGGTCGTATCGACAGGCAGTTCTCACCGCACAAGTGCGCCCCGTGGAGTGCTCTGCCTCTCCACCAGCTACAAAAAGAAAGTCTCCCATGACAGCAACACAGTGGTGGCTTCTCCCTACAGGCATAGGCGCTAGCTCGCTCCAGTTAGCAATCCCTGCGATATGAACATTCTCTTGATCTACCGGATTGAAGTATCGCAATTCCTTCACTTTACAGATTTCACGTTTTTTCCCACCAATAATGTAAAGAGTGTCTGACTGGAAGCGAGGTTTTGTCCTTCTGGTTTGCCAAACTGGCTGTGCATAGACGCTCTGGTGGTAAGCCAAGGCCTCATTAACAAGCGCTGTCGCAGTTTCATTAGCTTGGACAAGAGGATGAGAAAGAGCTACGGTATGCAGTGTATCCACATCCATAAGGCCAAAGCGGACGTACTGGAGAAGTTCATCCATGTACTGGTAGCGGCAGTTGTGTTCCAACCACCTCACAGCCAGCTAAAAGTGGGGGGAAGGAAGGGAAAAACAAGACACCAATTATTCATGTACAATTCTGTCAAAATTTTGTCTTTTGAAAACTGTGCTTGCATTCCAAAAAGAGCTATATACTTGCCTCAGTAGTGATATTGATCAATATAAAAAGTAGTTTTGAATGCATGTGAGTCAACATAAAAGATACCTACTAAAACTCCACCGATAATATAGATAAAAGCTTTCTATTGCACCAGTCTCCCTAAAGAATTTCCACAGCATTATCAGATTGCAATACTGCTATGCAATACTCTTGTGGTGCAACATGTTAGTGATGCTGTAGGAGACCACAACATCCCAGCATCAAGCTGCTGCAGCAATAATATAAATGTAGCGACTATGTGATCACTGGAGACCACAGGTACACTAGAAAGAGAAGGAAGATTACAGTTAGATGATTAGAAAAGCCCTTTCTCCCCTCCATCTTTCATTCTATTTATGACAAAACATTGAAGGAATATAACAAAATACATACTGAATCCTTCAATTCTTTTTTCCTTCGTTTATTTTATTCATAAAGTGGAGAGAGGTGTAAAGGGACCAGAAATTAAGCCAGAGAAGAGAGGAGCAGAGAAGAGGCTCTGCTGGTTTGGGACTGACTGAAAGCAGCAAGGAAGACTCTAAAACTGTTCAGCAATTGCAGCTGGTATCAACAGCTAAAATTAAACATAACCTTTAAGTTACATAAAGCATATTGAATCCAACCAGGTCTAAAAAGAGGCTAGGAAGGGCCTAAACCATTTCAAGAACTGTTGTAAAAGTTGTTCTTGAAAACCTCCAGTAATGAAGATACTCAAACTTCCTCAGGAAAACCATCCCTATGCTCAGCTATCCTCTTGGACAGATTTTCCTTTTACCTATGCAGGAGCTCTAAACCCTTCAACTCATTGCCTCATTTTCCACCTTTGGGTTTATACTCCAGAGCTCAGGAATGCAGCGACCAAGGAAATGCCCAGACCAACCCTTGAAATTAATCCATCCATACAGGACTAAAAGCAGTCTGCTACCTTCCTTTTCTCCTCCACTTCCGATGCATTTCATTATGTGTGTTGCAGTTTCCTTTTCTCTGAATGAAAAAATCTCTCAATCCATCTTGGGTCACATTTTCTAAACCTCTGTTGCTTGGCTCATAGCTATCTGTTATTGAGAGGAAATGCCCCTCTTTCTTAATGTTTGTTGCTGAAAACTGTATAAAATCTTCCTCTCAAGGCTGTAGTAGTAGCGAATAGATTGGAAGGATCACTTTGATTGTAACAATCTATGCCATTCTTGTTTGTACATCACTAGAAGAGACTGACAGTGCACTACGATATTGCTGATTCATGTTTAAGCTTATGACTGATCCCACCTCTTTTTTCTGCAGAACTTCCACAAAGTGTCATGCTTTCACTTTCATTACTGAAGTCTCTACTATTTAATTCAGGCCGCTGATCCAATCTGTCAAGATCATTTTCAATCCTAATTATATTTCTGAATGTGCTTGAAGATCACTGTACCTTCTGGTTGTCCGAAAACATAAACCCCATATTATTCTTTCCTCCAAGTCATTAACGGAGACATTGACTAGTTCTGGATGAGGATAGACTCCTCTACTTGATACTTCATTTCATCCTGACAAAGAACCTGTGGAACAGGAGTTTCTAACTAGTTGTGTGATAACAACAATTGCAGCTAAAAATTACTGCCCTGTATTGCTCATGGGAATGTCACATGAAGGAACTGAAAATAAGAGCTTCTATCTTACTCAAGACTTTCATATATGCACAGTCTATCAAATTTATTGCTGCTTCTGTATTCTCTCACAAAGGGAAGATGACAAACCAAAACCACCTTCTTATTAAGATTAATTTGAAACACTTTTGCTCCGCTGTGCTATTCAACCCCTGTGAAACCAAGAATCAATGAAGGGCATCAAAAATTGCAACAGTAGTTCAGTCAGTTAACTGCTAGTATTGAGTTTCAAAATGCACATTAGCTATATGTATTTAGACTCGTTAATAAAAAAGGAGTTAATTAAATACATTTGAAAGTGTTTATGGACTTGAAATCATTGAGCATTATATTCACATATTCTAAATCCATCAAATCTGTGTGTCACTGAGTGACTTTTAGGCAACTACCTACTCCATGTCTTAGGCCATGTGAATCATTCCTCAAAGTCTTCAAAGGCACTTAGCTTTCATCATTGACTAGACACTTGAAATTGAAGTGGAATTCAGGCTATCTTCATCATGATGAAGACACCAACTGAATTCATACCAACTGAATGATGTGTGGGTTACTATATGAAAAGAGAAGAATTTACAAAAACTGAGTTCTTATCTGTCCTCACTCGCATCCAACAGACTGGTTTCTCTTGCTTATAGTTCATGCCTTCACTCACATCTAAAATGGCATCATGGAGGTATCACCTGTGCTGTAATGAGAGACATTACAGACTCTTAAAAGACATGCACTAATGTAAACCAGGCCTTGGTAACCACAGAGCTTTTAAAGGAAGTTTAACATTAATGCCTGTTAATATCTTAGAACTTCACCCTTCCTCTTTCCTTTATTGTCCTCCCTCCTGGCCCCCCATAAACACTATATAAACACAGAAGCAACATTATATACATTCATACCTTTCAAATACAGTATCTGCATTCATTTCTGCATATGGGATGTGTGATAATTTGCAGCAGAAGGGATGGACATCTCCATTACAATACATTTCGTCTGCTGCATGAAGTTTTTGGCAAAAGCAACTTGGTTCATACTGAGTTTGGTCTGTACTGAGACTATTCCTGGAGTTGTAAAAAAATGTTTCACTGAAGCCAATAATGCTTAATGTTTCTCTAAAATCACCATACCAATGGTGATACGAAAATTCTGTTGGCACTCATAGGAGATGTACAATCTATTCCTGGTCTTGAACCAAAACTTTCTCCATCCTTTCCTACACTATTTCATCCCCATTCATCTGTCCTGCATCTTTATTGGTGAAAACTTTTGAATCTTTCCAAATTAAACTTATTGCAACCTCCTTGGGACCCTCTATACATGCTGCACCTAAAGGTATCTTTGTTCTGCGCTACTTCCACCTTTCCTTTCTGGCAAGCAACCGCAACAGCAACGGGGAGGGCGAGGCGAATTCCAGGCTGTCTTTTGTGTAGGTTGCTACTGGCTCTCACCAGACTCCACGTCTGAGGTGAGTTTGCACTGGAGTACTGCATTTTACTATATTAATTTAGAAAGCAGGGCTAAGAACCCTCCACATCACTATATCACCTGGATGGTCTGTAGGCATTTGATAATCAGCAGAGAAAATCTACTGGGTCTTAGGGAGGCAACTGAATCACAATGTGTTTAGAAGCTCCTGTCCAGATCAACTCATGCTACTGCTGAACACAATTTGACTTCAGTTTTCTGTGTGACCCACACCTAATCTGTGGCACTCTAAGGCAGAGAACAGGCCACAAGAGCTAAAAGCTATCATGTTTTTATCAACTTGTCTTGCTATTGATAACAATGACTGTTACCGCATTTTAAATGCCATAAATTCATTTTCGACACTCCTTAAAAATAACTGCTAGGAATTTAAGCTACAAATGTAGGTATTTATATGTATATTCATAGAATACAGGACCAACTCCTAAATTGTGACACAAGACTATGGAACAGGTCATATGGTTTTAGGGACACTCACAAACTGAGCCTTAGACTTACTATGCAGCACACGTTGTTACGGTGCTCTCTAGCAGAACATAGTGCCTCACACTATGGAGGCATGGAAGAAAATTGAGTTTTCTGTGTGGGTGAACAGATATTCTAGTCACTGGATGGTTTGGCAGCTATTGGAAGGCTGGAGAAGTTCAGAAGAAAGAAAATTAAGCTCCCAAACAAGTCTTTTGCTTGTAGTAGAAATAGTCACTGATGGACTGTAAAACTTCTAAGTTCTAAACTTCTAAGTTCTAAGTTCTAAACTTCTTTCAGTGTACAGGAGGCAAATATAACTCTCAAGAACATACGGCAGAAGTGTAAATTTCCATGTAGCATTGATAAACATACAGACGTTTACCAACATGCAAGTTCCACCACCTTCACCCAGCTTTTGTTTAATCCAGACTTAGAAACCTGGTACCTACACAGAAACTCCAAAATTCACCCTGTCAGTACACTAATTATAGTGCCTATTTTTTAGCCTCTCTGGTAGTAGTGATTAACAACTATTACCAGTATTAGCAAAATAAACTCAAGGCCATTATACACTTTATGACATTGCAAGGAGAGAGATTCAGACTTCTCTAAGGAGATACCAATAGCACTTGAAATTACAACTGTGTTTAAAACACAAACAAGTAAGCAAGCAAAAACAAAGAGATCATCCACAATTTTGAGTTTTAAAATATTTGTGTCGCTGCTAAATAATTTACAAAAATAAGGAAATACTCCTACTCCTAGTGCCATATAGGCAAATTCTGTTTAAACTGCTAGAATCTTCTTTTCTATTAATTTTAATGTATGAGTGTGTGAGAAAAGGAAGCTACAAGCCTAGTGCCTATATCAACTTTAATAAATAATATATTTTGCCATATTCATCTTCTAAACTAAGTAAATGACACAACTAGACCCTCAGAAGGACAGGATTTTCAAAACAGATTAATTCTCTTATTCTAAAGCTTTAACCCAAAGGATTTTTCTTCTCCAGGATTACATTACTTGATTTAGCAATGGAGTACATTATAAAAACAGCAGAAAACAGATGGAAAAATGTATTGTACCACAGTTGGAGCGTACATCTAAATACACCTGCATGTTGGATTGCGATTTCATTGCATTTCCAATGGCTGCTTCTGCTTCCAGCATGATGCTTCGACAGCCTCAGAGTGTGGCCCTTACCTCCCTGCTGTTAATGGTATACATACTGCATACGTACCACAACCAGAGAGGGCACAGAGGCAGTGGAGGTTAAAGCTGAGTTAAATTCC